CATCGCTACTAAAAGGGCATCGCTACTAGGAGCAAGGACGCTACTAGTAGCTCCCGGCATTTCTACTAGTAGCAAGAAGCTACTAGGGGCAAAGGGCATCGCTACTAGGAGCAAGGACGCTATACTAGGGGTTCATCAACGTGTCCACCGACCGGCCATATCGGCACCTCTGTTCGCAGCTCTGCCATCTCCCTCTCCAAAGCGCAAATCTGCTCAGCGTGTTGAGCTCGAGCCTACCGCCAAGAGGCAAAAAACAGTACTTGACCGCTACACTCTGATGATTATAGTGCATTCACAGCAACTTGCAGCAAGAGCACTGCAAAGCTGCACGGCAAAGAGCAAACGCTTACCTTCATGGATTTTGTTCCAAAACATGTTCAAGGGAACCTCCTGCAGTTGCTGCTGGGCCCGCTTCGCCGCCTTGAAGCAAATCACCAACCAATGTCAAATATGTTGACAACGTCCGTGTCTCATCTACTTCCCAATATCTCAAGTTGAAAATGGCACGAGAAAAAGGCCTGCCGCGTCCCACCACCCTCCTAGCCCTCCAGCCGTCACTCGCTTGCCTGGCCCGAATTGAGGAGAACTTCACCAGGCCGCAGTCGTCTTGAGGCAACACTGGACTGAACCTGTCGCAAAATACCGAAACTTCCCTGGATTGCTCTGGATCTTGCCGATCTACTTATTCAATATCTCCTGCATAGATAGATATCTTTATCCAGCTTCATGGGTCTATCCCATGGGCCAGGTGCAGCCCACTCGCCCCTCATGCATCGGACAGAGAAGGACAGAGGAGAGTAGAGAAAAGCCATCGGGGCGCGCAAGGGTCAGGACCAGCATCAAAAGGAAAGTGAGGAAGCTGAAGACCAAACGCTAGCAAGCAGGAGAGCAGGAGCGCAGGAGCAAAGAAGAGCAGGAGCGCAGGAGAGTAGGGAGTTTTTAACCCCTCGCAGCGCGAATTGATGTCCCCACTCTCGTCGCTAAGAAGAAAAGTAAGAAGCTGTGGGTAGACAGGAGACATGGGTGAAACAGAAAACGTGCGTGTAAGAACCCCCGGCTCTCAGCACAGGCAGAAGCTCTCAAGCACTTGACACAGGCTCTACCCCACCCCTGCAGGCGGACAGGCGGGGTGTGGACGTTGAAGCGCAACTATTCTTGTTACTAGTAGTAAGGCACTTGTTCCTAGTAGCTTCTTGTTACTACTAGTAAGGCACTTGTTACTAGTAGCGATGC